AATGAAGCCCCTGCTCTGTAATCCATGAAAAGCTCTCCACCAGCATGTGCTGACCAGGACAGACAGACACAAAATTACTACAAATTGTGTCTTGATCCACTAGTTCTTATCAGCTCTGAGGTCTGATGGGCCAGGTTTTAATGCAGAAAGACTCCAGCACTTCAATCCCACACTAAGATAATTGCATGGAAAAAAGGAGATTAACTGAGACAGGTACCAGTAACACAAATACAAAAGCATTCAGTGATGCCATCTTTAAAAAGTCTTACAAACTGTGCAGTACCAACCCTTCAATAAAATATATAACAGCAATTTTTTTAAGAAGGGATTATAAGGGAAACTCTCAAAGAGCCCAAAAACCATAATCAGTGGGGTTTTACTATCAGGTATTTAATGACTTTTCACACTGCATTGAGGACTCTGGGTTTAAATAGCACAAATTAACTGCTAACCACAAAGAACTGTGCCAGGCTGAGGCCAGGTTAATTCCAGCTCACACTGCTGGCATGGTGGCAGCTGCTTTTGCATCCCCAACCCCAAAGCTGTGCCAAAGGTTTGGGGTTTGCCCTAAGCAGCAGCTCCCCTGCCCTGGCTGCAGTAACCTGCACACGAAATAACCAGACTGGAGGAATGGGAAAGAAACAAGATGTAAAACCTGATCCAACACCTCCTTCAGCCACACTGCCAAGGATCAGCTCTCCAGGCAGGATTACTTCCCATATAATCTTTTTTTCTTCTTCAACATGTACAGATGCATTCGCTGGTTTTGTGTGGATTTTTAAGTTGAAGTGCATTAAAGGTATTTCAAGGCAGCAGTTTGCAGTTTAACATAATGGGAGAAGCCAAAGCCATTTGGCAGACAATAAAGCAAACTTGCATATTCACAGGCAGTCCCAGGATTGGCTGAAATCAGGGAATAAAGGTCAACATTTTTTGGTTAATTCTATTTAAAGCCCCGTGAATTAGAAGATTTGTGCAGCAAGTTCTGCTGCAGAGTATTTTCTATGTGATTAACTGGCAGAACAATCACAGTGGAAACTCTCCCAGTATTCCCAGGGCTCCATCCAGCCCAGAATCCTGCAGGAGCCACAGCAGCAGAATATTCTAATAAGAACTCCCCTAATCTTCACCCAGCAATAATTTCAAGATGATATTATTATTCTCATTTCCTTGAATAATATCCATACTCCAGGGCCATTTTCCTTCTCATATTCAATATGGGGCATGCTCCTATCAAGATTCCTTTCCTCATATCCTGTCACGGTATCAATCACTGCCTGCTGTCCACTCAATCCACTTTTGATTTATCAGCCCCGTCTGCCTGGACTCCATAACTCGACCCAAACCATTTTAGCAAGACAGTGACAAATAACACCCAGGATCACATCAACCTGTTCCACTTAGTAAACTAAGGAACAGGAACTGTGACATCCCTCCATAAGTATTCCCTGCTATTCCCCAGCCTGATGTATATTAATGAGGAGCTGCTATTTGAAATGCTCCTTCCACATCAGCATCTAATATGATCAAATTAGGAAATGGGATGATTTATTAAATTCTGTGGAGCTGAAATATTCCTTCCCAGCTCTGGATGCCTGGCTGCAGAGAGGGAGCTGTTGCTTCCAATTTTTCCACAGGAGGATGCGCCCGCGCTTCGCAGACGAATTATTGGCTTTAAAAAGATTGTGAGGAGGCGAAATGTTATTAAGCAAATGCTCAGTAAAACAAACTAAATCGGTTTTAAAATTCCTAATTTAATGTAAATCTTGGTTGTTTCTGCTGAAATTCAGTTTGTGATCTTATTAAGTCGTATTTGCATTGTACTCCCTCACTGTAGGACAGCTTGGAATTTATAGCATTACTGGGAAGCTCCACTTTTCTGACTTTAAAAATGCATCTAAAACAGGATAATTATAATATGCACAAGTTTTCTTATCTTCTCAAATAAAACACAACCACTACCGGGAAGCTCCACTTTTTTCACCCTAAAAACTGCATCCAAAAATAAAACAGCCAACACACACAAATTTTCTTATTTTCTCAAATAAAACACAACTATTATTAGGAAGCTCCACTTTTTTTACTCTAAAAATGCATCTAAAATAGGATAATTGTAATATGCACAAGTTTTCTTATCTTCTCAAAAGAAGTACAAGCAATACTGGGAAGCCTCACTTTTTTTCACCGGAAAAATGCAGCCAAAATAAAATAATCACAATACAAACAAGTTTTCTTCTCCAGTAAAGAAATTAGTTTAGGTTGCAAGCAACACCTATTTAAAATATCTTACACATATCATTATAAAAATCCAACTTTTCAAAGTAAAACTTGATCTATCTCAGTGCTTTGCACTTCTGGAGATCTGTAAATCACCTGCTCAAATAAAACACCTATGTTAGAGAAGTTATTAAATAACACATTACTTTTAACACCACCTTCAGTACCTTGAAAAACAAATTAAAATTGCAGAGAAAAGATGTTACAGGATAGAGAATCTGTGCCACCTGCATGATTTATACCAAAAACAATTCCAGGCATTTAAAGAGACCACATAAAAGACCTTAACTTCCAACAGGAAGGTCATTTTCCAGAGGCAGACTCCCAATAAATAAAATAAAATTTACAAATTTAGTTTTTCTGGGTTCCTAAAGGGGATAATCCTCTGGGGGTGCAGCAGGAGGTACAAACCAGGGCTGATCTCCCCTTTCCAGGTGGGGAACAGCTTTTCCTCGCTCCCTGGCAATGCAGGAGATCCCCAGGAATATTCCCCTGGATAACCCATTCCTCACCACAGGAACACAGGGGCTGCCTGAGCTCCTCTGGAGCCTTTTATTAACTATTTATTAATTATTTACAAGTGGTTTCTTCAGGATTTGCCTTGAAAAGCCATAGGAAAAGAAGTTGTGCCACCCTGAACAAATAAAAATTGGGAACTACAGCTGGAATTCATGAGAATTCCATGGCAGCACTAGAAACACACACATTTTCCACGACAAACATTGTCCCACCTGCCCCAGGCGGGGCAGAGATGGGGAACCCTCAATCCTGAACCACCTTTTCCCACCATTTGTATTTTTAGGTTTATTTTTTTACCCCTCCATCACATTCCCTCTCTCCCCCACAATCTCTTTTCCAGCCTGAGGAATCCTGAACTCCTTGGAAAGCTGGAGAGCCCCTGGGTGGAGTGATTTTGAGGCAGAAAAGGGATTATTTGGCATCACTGACAAGCAGGGCAGGCACAGGCCTAGGCCTGGAGTAGCAGCTTTGTGCTAAACCAAGATTTAACTCCCCAAAATCAGATTAATGCAGAGCTGCTCAGTGCCACACTACAGCAGAAAAAATTACAATAAAGGATGGGATGGGTCCTGTTGGGTTTAACTTTAAGCTTTTGGACTCCTGTGGGATCATTCGGGATGTTATTTAGCAATATTCTCCCTCTGTGAGTGTGAACAGAACCAGCATTTAAAGGAATGTGCAGCTCTACCCCCCTGGTGCTGCACACTCTATATGTGAAATGTTTGATAAACCAAATATTTAATACATAAAATACCTGATACATCAAATATTTGATATATTAAATATCTGATACATCAACTATTTAACACCAAATATTTCCTAGCAGTAGCCAGGTTTTTCAAGTTCAGGTGCCTAATTTCTATATATTGTAACCATGATTAAAATCAAATCCCTTGGAAAAGATGACCACTAAACCACAGCTACTGAGAGCTGCAATTTATATTTATTATATATTATTGTATGACCATTAAGCCATAGCTAATGAGGTCTGCAATTTATTATATACTGATATTGTTTTATTATAATAAAAGTATTTTAAATCAGTTTATCACACTTCCTAACACTGAGTATGTGAAAACTCTTCCCTTTCTCCTCATTCTTCTGACATTTCTGTGGGCTCAAACTGATTTTCTTAGCAAAAAAAGTGGAAATCCAGGAAAAAAGCTGAACAGCTCTGATGGGGAGGATACTCTAAGAAAGGTCAGGCAGTTTAATTTCTAAATTTATTTCTAACTCTAAATAATCAAATTTCTACTACAAAGGCACTGCAGCAATAAAGGGTCCAAGCAACTCTTCCAGTGAACAGCTGGGAATAAGTCATGGCACAGCACAAAGAGGAGAAAGGGGAATATTCACATCTTTCAACAACAATTTTTCAACATTTACAGGCAACAGCTCTCCTGGTTTGGACACAGAAACCAAAGGTTTAACAAATTCTTAGTGCAGGCATGCAAAATCACCTGGCTGAAGATCTTAAATAGGGACCCAAACAGATTTGATCTGCCTGATCCACTCAATAATTAATTTCAAATCAATAGAAAATGCTAATTGGAAACCTGGTAGCCAGGATAAACTTCAGTTAAACCTCTTCATTGGAAAATACACACAAGCACAACCTGAGCATCTTTTAATTAAAGTAGAAAAGTAGATTTTATAATACCTTTTCCAACTTCTGGTTAAGATTTAAATATTTAAATTGTGAAATATTTGTTTGTCACAAACCAATGCATGCAAATTTTCACTGCAGACATCCTTAAATATTAATAAAAGATTGCATAACTAAAGACTCATCCTTTTCTGAGAGGAACACAGGTGAGAAAATCAGTTTATTCTGAACTTCAGGGAGCCAGTGTTATGGGTGGGAATTATGGAAAGCAGGAACCAAAGGGAAAAAAAAAAAAACATGGGATATTTCCAAATGGTTGTTTGACACTGAGAGACCCTATTTATGGGGTATTTTTGCTTGAATCAAATGCAAAATAAATATTTTAACTTCAAAACTGTTCCACCAGGGTGACTGAAAGATTTAGTGTGTGGGAAGCACTGCAGAGCCCCCAAATGAGGAATTCCAGGGATGTGTGCTGTGAACCATCACCTGCAGCCGTTATTCCCACTTATCCCAAGCCCAGCAATTCTGGCAGGATTTTCCAGGAATGTTTTTGCAGTAAAATACCACTGCTGTTTTTTCCTAGGGTTACTCTTACCTCCTGGTCCTGCTCTTTGACCGGGACCTTTGGGATCTGTAGGATTTGCCTCTGCCCCGGGAGCGGCTGCGCTTCCTCCTGGAGCCGTAGGAGGAGCTGCTGCTGGATCTGTGCCTGCGCCTGCAACAGAGCTGGGGTGAGCCTGGCGCTGCCAAAATACCAAAAACAGCAAAAAAACCCCAAGGAGTCCTGAGGAAACAGAGCTGGGGTGAGCCTGGCGCTGCCAAAATACCAAAAACAGCAAAAAAAACCCCAAGGAGTCCTCAGGAAACAGAACTGGGGTGAGCCTGGCGCTGCCAAAATACCCAAAACCAGCAAAACAACCCAAGGGGTCCTGAGGAAACAGAGCCAGGGGAAGCACGGCACTGCCAAACACCCCAAAAACCAGCAAAACAACCCAAGGAGTCCTGAGAAAACAGAGCTGGGGTGAGTCTGGCCCTGCCAAAATACCCAAAAACAGCAAAAAAAACCCCAAGGAGTCCCGAGAAAACACAGCCAGGGGGAGCACAGCACTGCCAAAACACCCCAAAAACAGGGACAAACCCTCAAGGATTCCTCAGAAAACACAACAGGGGAAGCATGGCACTGCCAAAAACCCCAAAATACAGGGACAAACCCCAAGGACTCCTCAGAAAACACAGCCAGGGGTGAGCCTGGCCCTGCCAAAAACCCCAAAAACAGCAAAAAAACCCCAAGGAGTCCTGAGGAAACACAGCAGGGGAAGCATGGCACTGCCAAACACCCCAAAAACAGGGACAGATCCCCAGAAGTCCTCAGAAAACACAACACTGCTCCCCAAGCAATTCCTGAAAAACACAGCCAGGGGTGACGCGGGCGCTGCCAAAACACCCCAAAAACTGCAACAATGCCCAAGGACTCCTCAGAAAACAGAGCCAGGGCTAAGCGTAGCACTGCCCCAAAAAAACCCAAAAACAGGGACAAAGCCCCAAACAACTCCTGAGAAAACACAAACAGGGCTGAGTATGGCACTGCCCAAAAAACCCAAAGAATAGGGACAAATCCCCAAGGATTCCTGAGAAAACATGCACAGACCTGGGGGGTTCACAGGGAGCTCCAGAAGCCTCAAATCCCACTATTCCCCCAAAACAAGCAACTCACACACACACACAGGGACACTATTGCCCTAAAGAGCTGATCCTCCAAAATCCACACCCCAGGCAAAAAAGGAAGGTTGGGTGGGGCCCTTAACTACTATTAGTAGTACTCAGTTAATCAGTGTTGATTTACTTCATTTGAGTTCATTTAAGGGCAGTTCCCTCCTGAGTCCAATCAGGATTCAAAAGGCTCTCTTCCTTTTCCCATCCCTCCCAGTTTTGTCTATTTAAAGAATAAATTCTCCTACACCAAGGAGAAAGGTGAAAGAAAAAACATTAACCCCAAAATCCAAATATTAACACTTCCTCCTCATCTCCCAGTAGCTAATTGATTAACAATTACAATATTCTCTGGTTTTGACCTTTATGTGTGATTAATATTAAAATACAAAAGTATTATATTATATTGTATTGTATTATATTGTATTGTATTATATTGTATTGTATTATATTGTATTATATTATATTATATTATATTATATTATATTATATTATATTATATTATATTATATTATATTTATTATGGAATTCAGGATGTGCTCAGGGATGGTCCAGCAAGGGCAAAGGGGCAGCAGGAGCTGCAATGCTGGACAGGATACAGAGGTTAATGCTGAAAAGAACAGGGCTGCTCCTGGAAAGGGAATGGGATGCTCCTGCTGGATGAGGGACAGGAATTCCAGACACTGCTGCCTTTGATTCTTGGGGGTCAGGGATAAACCCACATGGAGCAGGGCCTGACCTGCCAGGAGCATTTGCCCTGCCCCAGGGGCAAAGGCAGGATCCCAAAAGCAGAGCCCTGGATCATTCCTGGATGCAGCTGGGATGCCCTGGGGTCCCTGGAGCTGGAATAACGGGATCCAAGGTGCCCTGGCCTGGCCCTGGGGAGGATGGAGATCCCAGCAGCAGCAGGAGAAAGGGAATGCATCCCTGAGGTTCATTCCCAGCCTGCAGCCACTCCAGACAGGAGCATTTCCTCCTGGACACCAGGAGAGTTCTCCAGCTCCTGCTCCCAGTGAATTCACCAGCACAAGCCAGACTGAGACAGCTGGGATGGAGCAGGGAGCTGCTGCAGGGCTGGAGCCCCTCTGGAGCCAGGCTGGGACACCTGGGGGGGCTCACCTGGACAGGAGCAGCTCCAGGAGAGCTCAGAGCCCTGGCAGGGCCTGCAGGGGCTCCAGGAGAGCTGGAGAGGGACTGGGGACAGGGATGGAGGGACAGGACACAGGGAATGGCTCCCACTGCCAGAGGGCAGGGATGGGTGGGACATTGGGAATTGGGAATTCCTGGCTGGGATGGGATTCCCAGAGCAGCTGGGGCTGCCCCTGGATCCCTGGCAGTGCCCAAGGATGAGCTGGGAGCACCCTGGGGCAGAGGGACATGTCCCTGCTGGCAGAAGGAAGAGTTATTTTGCCTCCGGGGGTTTCCCTGGTTAAAGCAGAATTTCCCTTTGGATCTGCACATTCCCTGCTCTGTTCTCATGGGGAGAAGGAGGTGTGGGCATTTCTGGTCATGGTGGTGGGTCTGGGGTTTTATTTTGATAAAACGAAACCAGTTTCACATCTCTTAAGGTTCAGAACAATCTGTGCCTTAAAATCCCAACCCGTGGCATCCAAACCCTTCCTGCTGTAACACGAAAGAGTTTCTAAAACTCCTACAAATGCACCTTTTCTCATAGGAGTGGGACCAGGACGGGAGATCCCGGGAGCGCGACCTGGACCTGGATTTGCGGCCCGACTTTTTGCGGCTGTAGGCGCGGCTGTCCGAGGAGCTGCTGGAGGAGGAGCGCCGCCGGTGCTTCTTCTTCCTGCGGCTCCTGCCCTCCTCCTCCGTGTCCGAGGAGCGCCGGCCCATCCCGACCTGCAGGGAACGCACACAAACCCAGCTGGGACAGGGCTGCTGCCTGCCCTGGCCTGGTTTGTATTTATAATATTTCAAAAATTAAATCAAAACACACCATTCCATCTCCTCCTGTCCCTGTTCCCTGGAGAACAGCCCGACCCTCCCCGGCTGTCCCCTCCTGTCAGGAGCTGTGCAGAGCCACAAGGTCCCCCCTGATCCCCCTTTTCTCCAGGCTGAGCCCCTTCCCAGCCCTGATCTGATCCCCTGATCCCCCTTTGCTCCAGGCTGATTCCCTTCCCAGCCCTGATCTGATCCCCTGATCCCCCTTTGCTCCAGGCTGATTCCCTTCCCAGCCCTGATCTGATCCCCTGATCCCCCTTTGCTCCAGGCTGATTCCCTTCCCAGCCCTGATCTGATCCCCTGATCCCCCTTTGCTCCAGGCTGAGCCCCTTCCCAGCTCCCTCAGCCCCTCCTGGGGCTCCATTCCCTTCCCAGCTCCGCTCCGTTCTCTGCTCCTCCTCTTCCCAGCACAGGCGGCTCCAACCCGCTCAGTTCCTCCATCCAAACCCTGGCCCATCCTCACACCTCCGGTCACCGGGGCAGCGCCTCCTGATCCACCGGGGAGCGAGCGCCTGCAGCGGAGAAAGGCAAATCCACCGTAAGGACACGGAGAGCCCTCGGAGCACTGCCGGGAGCCGCGGGGCTCCAGGGAACAACCCCCTCCGGGAGAGCGGCCCGTTCCGGAGAGCGGCCCGCTCTGGGCACGGCACCCGCACCGGGGCAGCTCCCGAGCGGTCCCGGCCAGGCCCGGGAGCACCGCGATGCCCCCGGAGCCGCTCCCCGTCACCAGCAGCTCCAGGGGCTCCTTCCCAAGGCACAAGCCCTGCGCACGCCGGCGATCCCCAGCACAGCCGGGACCCCGAGAGGGCTCCGCCGGGACCGTGCCCCGCACCGCCCGCACCGGAGGCCGCTGCGCACAGCCGGCCCTGCAGCGGCCGCCCTGCCGTGCCCTCAGGGGCCGGTGCGGCTGTGTCCTGTGTCCCTGTGTCCCCCCAATGCCCCCCGTGTCCCCCAATGTCCCCCGTACCTGGCGGAGCCGCCGCGGCCCCGGTTCGAGCCCAGCGCCTTCCGGGGCGGTGGGCAGGCAGCGCCAATCCACCGCCGAGCGCGGCTAGGCGGCCGCAGCGAGCGCCGAGCCATCGATGCGGCGCGCCGGCGGGCGCCCACGCGGGACGGGCGGGGGTCGGGCCGGGGTCGGGCTCGGGTCCCGCTGCCCACCGGCGTGCAGAGCCCACGGAGCACTGTCTGCACCGTGCCCCACACGGTGGGCAACGCAGTGACCCACGGGCCCACGGCGTGACACGCCGCGGGTGACGCGCAGGAGGGGAGAGTGGGTGGTCCTGGGGTCGGGTTCCCGCTGCCCACAGGAGGTGCAGAGCCCACGGAGCTCTGTCCGCACCGTGCCAAACACAGCGACCCACAGCGTATCCCCCCCGCCCCCTGTTCCGCCCGCCCCGTGTCACAGCGGCACGGAGCGATTTTCGTTCTCTCCCGGAGAGTTAAGGGAGGTTCGGGGGTTTTTGGCACCGAGAGCCGCCCCGCGGGCGGAGGGCAGCGCTCCACGCGCGGCGTGGGCACCGAGAGCCGCCCAGCGGGACGGAGCGCGCCGGGCGCGGCTGGGCACGGACCGAGCCGGACCCACCGGGCCGGGCAGAGCCTCCGCCGGGCACCGAGCAGAAATGCGACAGAACGATCGCATCGCTCCGCTTAATTCGATTTTCCTACCGAATTTGGTTCGTTTAACGCGAGCTCCCGAGCGCGCGCTCCCCTGCCACGGGAGCGGCGGGACGCGCGTGGGGACAAACGAAATGTCAGGGCTGGGGGGCCGGAGAGGGTCACCGGGCCGGTCGGCAGCCGCGGCGGGCCCGTCACACCGAATGCCCCGGTGCCCGGAGCCCCGGGGATCGAAACCGCCCCGCGGGAGCGGCTCCCGGGCGGGCACCGGGACTCGCCGCCTGTCGCGACACGGTCGCGTGTGACCGGCTCGGAATGAACCCTGCTGCCGCCCCCGGTGCCGACCCTGCCCCGGTAAATGAACGCTCCGTTATGTGCAGTCATCGCCCCAAAGGTCAATGAAAAATCGATACGCAGGCAAGAGTTAAACAATTCTGAATAATTTATTAGAATTTAGCGAAGGTGGGAAAGAGGCGAGCTCCGCCGACAAAAGTGCTCCGCGGTGGGATTTAAAAAAACAAAGGGACACCAATATCAGCGATACCGGCGCGTTCGGCTCTATTCCGGCGCTCGCTGCGCGGCCGCGCAAGGAGCGCGATGTCCCTCGCTGTCGTTTGTCCCCTCGGGTTCTCGGGGCGCCCACGGCGGAACTTTCGCGGCTCCCGCGGGGCCGCGGCCGCCCCGCTTGGCCGTGCCCGGGGCTGACCCGAGCGGCGCGGGGCGGTGCGCGGAGCCTGCGCGTCCCCGCCGCCCCCCCGCGCGTCCCGTGGCCACTCCCCCGCCGCCCCGGCCCCGCTCCGCGCCGCGCTCAGCCGGGACCTCGCGCACGGTCCCGCGCCTAATTAAATTAATTAGGGCGCAGCGCGCGGCGGGCGGGCGGTGCCGTGGCCGCAGTGCCCCGCGGCGGGCGGGCGAGCGGCGAGCACGGGAGGAAGGAAGGGAGGAAGGAAGGGGTCCATTCAGAGCTCCGAGGGGAGGTAATTCGCCGGGAACAAGGGGCCGGCTTTGCAAAGTATAAATAGTGCCACTTCAATCGCGGCGTCGCTATCAGACCCCGGGAGCCCTGCACGTCGGGCGGCACGGCCCGGCCCGGCTCGGCACGGCCCGGGGCGCCGCCGCCGCCGCCTCCCCGCCCCGTGGATGCCCGCCCGGGGAGCCGGGGCAGCGCGCCCCTGAGCCATGGAGGAGCTGACGGCGTTCGTCTCCAAGTCGTTTGATCCCAAAGCCAAGGAGAAGAAGGAGCTGATCACCTACCGCGAGGTGCTGGAGAGCGGGCCCCTGCGCGGCGGCGGCGGCCCGCGGGAGCCCGGCGGGGCGGCGGCACCGGAGCCGGGCCGGGAGGACACGGGCAGCCCCGCGGCGCGGCCGGCCGGGCGCTCCCCGCCGCGGGAGCCCGACGCCGCCGCCGAGAGAGCGGCCGAGGCGGCCACCCCCAAGCTCAGCGACGGTAACGGCGGCACCGCGGGCTCCCCCTTCTCCCGTTCCCGTCCCCCCTTCCCCCGTCGGGGTCGGTACGCGCGGGGCGGCCGCGGTCGCGGGGGGCGGCGGGGAGGCAGCGCCCGGCGGTGATGGGCGGCTGCCCGGGCGCTCCCAGCCGCGGGAGATGGGCGGCCGGCCTCGAAGTTTTTAGATTAAAATATTTAAACCCGGATTTAACTTGCCCCGAACGCGATCTCGTTCCCGTTCGGCATCCCACGGGAAGCCGCGCCGCCAACGAAAGCCCGGCCCCGCGGGCCCGTTCGTTCCCCCGCGGCTCCGCGGACTCGCGTGGGGCCGGGCCGCGCTGCCCGCGCTCGCCCCGCGCCTTCGGCAGATCCGCCCGCGGCTGTTCCGCGCGGCACCGGGGCCGGCACCGGGGCCGCCCGCCCGCCGCTCCCGGGCGCCGCGGGAAGCGGCCGGGCCCGTGCCCGTGGCCGCGGGGACCCGCGGGTCGCTGCCGCCCTTTTGTTCGGGCCGGCGGAGCGCCCGGAGCATCCCCGGTCGGATGCCCGCAATGAGGCGATCGGTGCGGCGGGACCGGGCCGTGCCGGCCGGGCGGCCCCGGGGGTCGGGGCGCGGGCCCCGCTCTCCGGCCCGGGGCGCGTCTCCGGCCGGGAATTGACCGAGAGCAGCGGAGCCCGGGGCGCGGAGAGGCCGCGGCGGCCGGCGGAGGCTCCGGGGACCTGTTGCTGCGCATCCCCCGGGGCCGCGGCGGGGCCGGAGGGGAGGGCTCGGTGCGGACCCCGTTCCCCCGGCAGCGGTACCGGAGCCGGCGGCGGAGCCCGGCACGGCAGCGGCCTAGCGCGGCCCGGGCGCACAGGCCCCGCTCCCGGCTGCCCCGGCCCCGGGGCGCTCCCGCCCGCGTCCCCCCGGCCGCCGAGAGCGGCGGGAACGGGAGCGGGGCCGGCCCCGGTGCCCCCGGCCCCGCCGCTCTGACTGCTGTGTCGTGCCCAGTGTCCCCAGAGCTGAAGGAGCGCAAGGAGGATGCGAAAGCGATGGAAGACGAAGGGCAGACGAAAATCAAGCAGAGGAGGAGCCGGACGAATTTCACCCTGGAGCAGCTGAACGAGCTGGAAAGGCTTTTCGACGAGACGCACTACCCGGACGCGTTCATGCGGGAGGAGCTGAGCCAGCGGCTGGGGCTCTCCGAGGCCAGGGTGCAGGTAGCCGGGGCCGTGCGGGTGCGTGTGCTCGGGGAGAGCCGGGGGGACGCTGGGGACGAGCCCCATCCTTCTGTCAGGGCCCGGAGGCAGCTCCGCAGCTCCCCGGCTCCCGACTTCCCCCGCAAATCTGCCCGCGGCCTCGCAGGGCTTTGCGTGCCCGGGATTTGTGTCCCCGTCCCCCGGTTCTGCCGCGGTTTAGCCCAGCCCCGCCGCCGCTCCATCCCCGCCTCGGCAGCCGCTCCCGGGGCCGCTGCCCGGCTCATCCACGGACAGCGATTCCCGTCATGGATGTGGCGAGCATGAACTGAATTAGACACCGCCGAGCGAAACAATGATAGAGGCGTTTTCAGCCCGTTTCGCCCCGTAGTTCCTAAATGTTGAAACGGCACGAAAACTGAGCGAGGTGCTTTGTTGGCGTTTATGGAATACAGAAAGTCTGGGATTAACCCGAGATATTTTGAGCTTTCTGTCCTCCCGGGAAGCCGCGGCTTCTCTGGGTTTAACCTGCGCTTTGCACCCTCCCAAAGTTTTTCCGAACGGGTCCCTGGGCTGCTCCCTGCGAGTTCTGTCGGGATGAGCCGAGGAGAGGAGAGGAAGGGGAGATCCCTCAAATGAGAACAAATGTAGCTGCTCCGGTGTATTTCCGTTCTGAAAATAAAAGAAGAGAAAATGATGGTCATTATTTGCTGGAACACATGGAGAAGTTTTAGGCCCCGAACATCTGCAGCTGGTGGAAAGTATCGCTGTAACAGATACTCCCCCTCGATCTTTGTGCTCGCAGGCACCATCTGCACCCGAGTACGCGCTCAGTCCTTGGGGGCTTTCCCTGCATCGTGTAAGGTTGTGAGGACAGAGGCAGACCCGGCACGGGGAACCGAAAAACTCAAAACGAGCAGCTTTAGTCAGAGCCTGAACGGCAAAAAAAAAAAAAAAAAAAAAAAAAAAAAAAAAAAGAGAGAGAAAAGAAAAAGAAATAAAAAACTAAAACTCTTCATTTCCCCTCTCTTCTCCCCCTCCTTTTATTTTTTGGTTGCTTTTTTTCTTTTTCTTTTTTTTTCCTCTCTGCTCGGTTTTTGGTTGCTTGGTTTTTAATTGTGTTTGTTCGCGGTTTTTAAATTTGTTTTTTATTTCTGTTCACCAAACCCTAACAAAACCAAGGCAAAAAGTTGTTGGCTGTGGAAAATGGAGCAGGGAGGTGCTCGACAAAGGAGGCGGCGGCGGCGCATAATCCGCGCTCCCATGATGCCAAATCGCAGGGTGCATAATAACTTTTGGAGATTTACATAGATTAAACCCATTCCCTAGAAATCCGCCCGGAAAAAAAAACCGCTTTTCAATAATATTTTGCCTCGTATCTGCTCTAATTTGTAAATGACGGAAGGCGCGTTTGTTTCCACGGGAGGCTGAGGGCGAGCGCAGCTCTTGGGCAGATTTTCCCTGGCTGGAGAAAATGACAGGGCGGGAGGAATTCCCGTTTATATTTGTCTCTTAAAGTAAGACCTCAAAAAATGCAATTTTTATCTATTTTTTTTTCTTTTTTTCTGGCCGCGGGGAAAGGATTCCTTGGCCGATGCGGCTGCCGGGATGGGCTGCAGAGCCCTGGGTTAAAACGGGGATGTTTTAGGACCGGCTCTCCCCCTTTCCCTCCCTCCTTTCCCAAAGCCAGCAGAACTTCGGGCTGGGGATTTATTTTAACGATTCCATTTCCGATATTAAAAGTACGTTCTTGTCTAACGGGGCAGCCTCTTCGGTGCAAGCAAATTA